TTTTCTCCAAGTTGAGTCAGCTTCTTCTTATTCCCAAGTTTTGTCCATATGTCTTGATGACCAAACATCAAAAATCCCCCACCAAGTAACACAGCCCTTTTTCCAAACATTTTTCACATTTTGAGTTTTTTATTTCTCTCGTCTCCACCTTAACACAGGGGTTCTGTCACTCATTCAATAAACATGTTTTGGACACCTACACTATGCTAAGTGTAATATGTCAAGTACTATACTAAGAACATGTTAGAATGAGTATAAAGAGGAGAAAGACTCAGTTAAAGCCTCAAAAAGTTTATAATCAGTGAAGGGAAGACATTCTAGTTATTATAAACATATGAAAAGGGGTGTAAAACAAATCTGAGCAAAATGTTATGGGGTGGGAGGTAGAAAATGGCAGAGGCTGAGGTTAGATGGACTAGTCCCAGGTTATGAAGTGACTTGTTCTATCATCTCATTTCTGAGTTCTTCTGATTCTGACTTATATAATTTTTCCACTATTTATATCATTTCCTTAGTGTCTTATAACTCCAAGTATTATAGTTCCTTTTTGTTTTGTCAGTATGTCTTTCTGGTGTCCTTTTATTATCCTTATCACTGAACATTTTCAAGCAAGGTAGTGACATGATCTTATATACTTTATAAAAAGATTGTTTTAATAACAGTGAAAGATGGACTGAAGGAAAAAGTAACCATAAGCAAATATATCAACAAAAAGGGCAATGTCTAATGAACATGAGGAAGAGAGAAAGGAAATAAATAATTTAGAATTTAACCACAAATTATAAAGTGGGAAGTAGGATGGGAAATGAGGAAGAAGGAATGGAGAATAACTGCAAGGCTGAACAACTCAGAGTCCTGTGATATGACAGAAACAATCTAGCATTGGACACAAAGTACAGAATACACTTATATTTCTCTAACACCTTCTCACAAAGTATAGAATACTTATATTTCTCTAATACCTTCTCTTCTTCCTAATCATCTTACATAAAGCCATTAGTTTATGTTTCTTCCTAAAGAACATTAAATAAGAGATTTCTCTACTGCCTGTAGAAATATAGTTTTCCACAGGTCTTGCCTGTCTCTCCAGTGCTTGCTCCAAGTTTTCCTAATTGAAACCTCCCAATATTATCAATTTGGTCACTCTGCCTCTGCCACTCCCTAGGATAGTTACCTCTACTAATAGTCCCTCCCTACCCATCCTGAGTCTAAGTTTTCCCCATCTTTCTAGGCCTAGCACATCTCTAAAGCCTTCCTGACAGTTTGGAAAGTCACTCCTTTCTCAAAATCTCAGAAACCCACATAGCATCTAGGACCAAGTTCCGTCATAAACTATTAAGTATTTTTATAATTGTTTCTGGGAGATACACTGTGCAGTTTGTACATCATAATTCACTAGCTCCTCATCTGGGCATTTTGTAGTGTTCCTTACCCTAGGGAAGAAAGAGACGTCAATGACAGAACAGTGACAACTCCTAACTCACAACCAAATCATCACCAAGATTGATTTCACCTTCTTAATGAATATTCAAGCCTTAAACTTTTCCTCTGCCATATCATAACTCAACCTAATCTTAGCTGTCCTCTACTTTGGTTTTGATTTGTTTCCTACGCTGCAGTCAGAATCACTTTCCAAAATGAAAATTTGACCATACCATGGCGTTATTAAACGTTTCAATGGCTTCTCTAGATTAAACACAAAAAAAATTTTACCAGGGCTCCAGCCTCAATTCCTTGGGGGAAACAGTCCTTGATTCCCTCCATTAAGTTAAATACCACTATTATAATCCTCTGTGAAACTTTTTGCCTGGACATTTACTATTTTCAAAATTTTACACTTATTTGTATTCTTTGATTACAGATTATACGCTCCATTAAAGCAGGAACTCCATCTTTGCAACGCCTAGCACTGTCCCTGACACGACGAAGTTGTTAAATAAATACTTGTTGAATGCGTCAATGAACTTCTCTTTGCAACCCAACGTCCCCTTCTCTCCCATTAAAAAGTGCGCCAGGGCCATGGCACTATCTATGTATCCTATCTGCCACTGCCCAGAACCCAGCAATGGGCTTAAGGTCTATAAGCATTTGGTTAACAAATAAATGGGGTAAAGAAAGAGATTAATGGGGGGATGATATATCTTAGGCCTGAACACTCTAAGACGGAGAAGACCAGAGTCCGGGTGCTTCCGTGAGTGTTGCCTAGAGAGTCCCCTCTCAGGGTGAACAGGACCCGGGAAAGGGGCCGACCCCAAGAGCCCGAAGATTTGACCGGTGTTTCCCAGCAGCCCTGCGACCCCTAGCCCTATTCCTTTTCCTTCCTGTCAAGGACCCCGGCCCGTCTCCAAGCGTACGTACACGTGCGCGCGTACACGTACACACACACACACACACACACACACACACAGAGCCTTCTGATTCAGGGTAACTCACAGGCGCAGAGGTTTCTGAGCCATCTGTTCCAATAGCTTAGGTTGATAAGATCACCTAAAATTGGAATCCGAACCCGCGCTCCACGGAAAAATGTCAGCCCGCGACACAATGAGACGTCGGCGATCCCCAGCCAATGAGAGTTCAGTGACCTACGGAGAGCGCCCAGGGACAGAAGCCTCGCTCGGGTGGTTCCGCTCCAAGGAAGAATTCAAGAAGGGAGGAGCGCGGTGGGAGGAAGGGGAAACCACCAACAGAATTTCTATCATAATTGCCCTCCCCTTCCCGAGGAGTTGAATTTAGTGAGCTGCTAGTAAGTTTCCTGCACAATGTTAGGCCCTAACCTAGAGTACTGAGGATTGAACCCAGTGGCGCTCTGCCACTGAGCTACATGCCCAGCCCTTTTTATTTTTTATTTCGAGACAAGGTCTCGCTACGTTGCCCAGTTTGGCCTGGAATTTGTGATCCTCCTGCCTAGGTCTGGCGAGTTGCTGGAATTACAGGCACATGTCAGTGTGCCTGGCGTACACTTTATAATGTTTTAACGTGAAAGAATAATGGCCATCACTTCAATTCTTTGTGTCAGCATGTTGCCACAATTTGCTTGCCAGCTCTGTCTTTTTGCCAAGATGGCCAAGCACTTTTATTCCCATTGAATCATTTGAAAGTAAAGTGCAGAGTTCAGAAATACCTCAGCATGCGTCTCCTAAGGATAGGAACATGCACATTGTCCTCTAACTGTACACATATTTAAAATTCTCCCATTTGTCGCCCCAAATTGATTTTACCCTGGGGGCTTATTTTCACTAAGGAACCAATCAAGTTCACACTTCCATTTTGTTCTCTTAATCGACAAATGCCCACCTACCTTTTTAGCTTTCTATTTTACCACATGGACTTTCTGAAGAGTTCAAGCCAATCAGGAGACAACAATATACAAGGAAATGAAAACAGGAGAGTTCCTAACAACTGAGAGATACTCAAATAATTCAAAATTAAAATAAGTTTAAGGACACAAGGCTCTGGGTTTTCTCACAATTTTGTGTAAGCTGTGGGGAAATACCAAGTCCCTTGCCTCATAAATATTGATGTTCCTGCTTTATTGGCACACCAAACATGCATTTTCCCCTACTTCTTGTTTTTTAGTTTTTGTTTTGGTACTAAGGATTGAACCCAGGGGCACTTAACTACTGAGTCATATCCCCAGTCCTTTTTATTTTTTACTTTGAGACAGGGTTTAGCGCAGTTGCTGAGGCTGCCTTTGAACTTCTGATTCTCCTGCCTCAGCTCCCTGAGCTGCTAGGATTATAGGAGTGTACCACCATGCCTAGCTTCTCTACTTTTTGAATAATATAACATTGCCCAGAGTGGCAGTCTTCAAGGGGCTGGGCTTGTGGCTCAGTGGCAGGGCACTTGCCTGGCATGTGTGAGGCACTGAGTTCAATCCTCAGTACCACATATAAATAAATAAAAAATAAAGGTACATCAATAACTAAAAAATATTAAAAATAAAAACTACATCTTTAAGAAAGTAGTTTTCCAAACATGGATAGGTAATAATTCCAAGATGAGGAAATAACAGTAAGATATGAAAACTCATCCATGGAATTCTATATTACCTTTGCAACTTTCCCATAGATCTAAATCTATTCTAAAAATTTTTGAAAATTCATCCACGAAAATTTACGATAGCTGGAGATAGTCAAACACAGTGTAAGTGTAGGAGTAACAGGAAATAAAATTTTTTAAAAAATAAGGGCCTTGTATACATGACAAGAAATCCAGCTTTTTCAAAAAGGCCATGAGAAATCACTAAAGAATTCTAAGCAGGAATAATGTGGCTAAGTTTACATTTTAGAAAGACTGCTGTGGCAATAGTGCGGAGGGTGGGTTAGAAGGACAGTTAAGAAGGGTTTACAATAGTCCAGAAGAGCAGAGGATAAATGGTGGAGGTCTGAAACAAACAAACAAAAATGGGGGGACAGGGACAGACATAAGTCCTTTTGCAAATTTAAGTGGGACTCTCAGGCACCTCACTAGCTGCTAATACCTTACTCTGGATAAGGTTGCCTTTCTTCCAAACTGAATTGGTCATTCAGTAACCCCTATCCCCTGGTATCTTTGGTGTGAAAGGATGACAATAAGGTTCCCAGAAGCCTCCTTAGCCCCACAAACACAAGTGGGAAATATTTTAAAAGACTTCATTTTATGAATATAACCACTCCCTCCTCCCCCAACACATACACATCTTGCCTTTATCACATTTTCAAAAGGGAACACACACATATAAGGCACTGGGTTTGAGTCTCAGTACCACATAAAAATAAATAAAAGTACTGTGTCCAAAAAAAAAAAACAAAGATGTCATCTGATTCATAAAGGAAAAAGAGATAAGTGAGGCCCATCCCATATACTAAGCTATTGAAACTCCTTTTACTAGTTCTGTTTGGTCTATAAGATTTGACTGTTTTTAAGATTTTGTTATTGCAATGTTATGGAAAACTAAGTTACTAACATTCAGAAAGTAATAAACTGCAAAGAACATATTTTTTTTTTCCTTTTTTTTAATTTAGAATCTTGTTAACAATACATTAGCATCATTAATAGAAAAAAAAAAAAAAACATTTACACAGTAACTCAAAAACCAGTCATTTAAGAAAATATTGTGGTACTTAACCACTATCAGAGAAAACAGGTCCTCTCATTTGATTCCACTGGCAAGCCCAGGTTTTTCCTGAATTTTGAGAGTCTCTGTCCTGAATAGATAATGAAGCATTCAAGTAAACAGTAAGGAGCTGTGTGAGTTTCTGAGGGACACTGCCTCAAAGGAGGTTCAGGAGCAGCCACAGTCCTCCAGTTTACCCAACATTGGGATGTTCCTGGGATGACCAGCATAGTTGCCTTTTCAAGAGCTTTGACAATTCATCAGCCTCAGGATTCGAGTGTTATGAAACATTCTTCCACATTAAAAAAGACTTTATCCCATAGGAATTCATTTTTCATCGCTTCTCCAGCTTCTTGTACTTGGCTTCTATGTAAAGGAGAGGAGGGCATTACAGCTTTTAACAGTGGTTCTCAAAGATACATTTTTTTTTTTTTTTTTAGCATTTCAAAGTAAATTCAGATATGCCTATTATATTTTTTAATTCATTACTTTCATCTGTCCAAATATACAGATTATCAATTTATACAATTTGAAATAACAAGTCAAACATATGCACCCAGAATTGAGAGCCCAAAACAAGTTCACTAAGTTCTGTCAACAGCAGCTGCTTGGACAGCACCATTAGAATTAAGCAGATTACTGTAACTTGATCTATCAGAAAACCTTAATTAAGCACTGGAAACTGCCTTTCCAGATCCTATCCCAGGTGCCCTCTGGAATCCTGAGGAAGTATAAATATATTTTTCACCTTTTATATTCTTAGCCTTACTTTTCACTCCAGGAAAGCAATTTGGAAAGATATGGAGATTTAAGAGGTCATAAAATAAGCCTATTGCTGTGACATTTTCTTTTTTTTTTAAAAAAACTCAGAAGCACCTAATTCTATCTCATGCCTTCTACATGGTAAGGTTCACAGTGAAAAGTTTCCAAATGTAATTGTAGGCAATGAAACTGATTGTTGATCACTACCTATGTCAAATCTCAGCCTGCACAAACTACTTTCTTGAAGTAGTCAACAATTATCAATGATGAAAATACAATAATCTGTAACTGTTACCTAGGCTAAAAACAAATTCACTGTTTTTCACCAGGGATATAACAGACAGAGCCAGTGAGCAATACTAAAAATACGAATTCTATCCTTAAGGGAATTAGTCTTTCAAGTAAACCTTTGGTTGACTATTCCATTTTTTACAGACATACGTATCTACATTATTAAAGATGACTCAGAATGCTAGTCCACAACTAAAAGATTGACCATTGTAGTCAAACAGACTGGATTTGGAATATGGCTCATTCATATGCTTTACTAATTTTGTGTCCTTAAACAGGTTTCTTAACCTCTTAAACCATGTTTTTCTCCCCTGTGGAATAGGAAAAAATAAAAAATTATGTTCTTACCTCACATATAAAAGATAAAAATCATAATACATACATGTAAAGCACTAAGAACAGTGCCTAGTAGAGTATTAAAATCATTAAGAATAGGAGATGTTCTTTTTATTAATAATAATGATAAGGCTTTAAAGGAGGATTATAAATAAGTATTCTATAAATGTTAAATATTATATTAGTTAAGGGCATACTGTTAAGAGATACTCCTTATTAAATCAAAACAGAAATAAAAATGGTTACCCAGTTTTTTTGAATATGCATCCAACTTGTAGGCTGCCTGCTCAAGAGCTGCTACTTGCTCCTCAATTACATTGATCTGATCCAGATATGGCTGTAGTCCAGCATCTTTAAAACAAATCACATATTTATACATCTTCAACAAGAAGTTTAGAAAAAGAGGGGGAAAGTAAGAATGTTAGTGTCTCTCTAGATATGCCTCAGATAGACTAGGTGGAGAGACATGGTTCTCATCATTAGCTAGGTAGATGCTTTAGAGGATTGTGCCTAACTAATCAAGCACAATCATGACCTAGCCAAAATAAGTCGCTCTCATCTATTAATTTTCCTTTCTTTTTAATTTATTGTTCTCAAGCAATCTGTTACTGATTCAGTTTCTTGGGCACTCCCACACTAAGCAAGGATGTCCTACTGACAAAAACACAAATATAAGTCAATGAAAAAATATATTTGACCACTCTAAATTAGCATTTTCCATTTATAGATTTTTCTGTTTTCTATTTATAGAACAATCCTTTATGGATTTCAATGTTAAATCAATTCACTAATATCTGATTACCCCTTTGTTGCCCCTTCCCCTTCCAGGAATAAACTTACAAAATCAAAATTTGGAAGCACATATAACCATTCTACCAAAGCATGGTGATCTTCAGAATGAAAGAAATTCACCTTGACTCAGTAATTCATTTTTAGAAAACAAGCTTCCAAAAGATAGTGATGCCATGTTTACTCTCTCCTTCTTCTAGGTCCCAAACATAAAAGAACATTAAATACAAACATGTTTAATTATAAAAATTATTACTTACACTTCTGGTTTAAGTCCTTTAAGTTTCTACTAATGTTTATAGCAATATCTTTCATTTCAAGATACTTCAAGCTGGTTAGTTTATTCATATTTTCCAGGAGTTTATAGTCTTCACTGGTGGCTTTAAAATAAATAGAAAATGTGATGCCTTTAAAATCTGTCTTATATCATTGAAATGTGGAATTTTAGGCCAAATGTTAGTTCAAGGCAGAACCTAGGTAATGTCAAAGGAGTAGCCCACTTTTCCCTTCTTTTTCTTTTTTAGGAAAGAATTATTACCCAAAGCAAATTTTATTACAAGGCTCAAAGAATACAATGTGAAAGACCACTGAGCTTGAACTAGACCCCAATAGCCTTAAAAAAAAAAAAAAAAAAGCAGTCTTCTGTTGTAAAGCTACAGAGTGCAACCATAGTCATCACTCACAAATTTTGAGCAGCTCACTTTTGAACTATGACACTTATACTCAGCCTATATACTCTGAATATCTAAGTAGAAACTCAGGCAGTAATCGGCAAACTGTTTAAATCAAACAAGATCTAAAAGGTGAAAGTTGGGACTATAGCTTAGTGGTAGAGTATGAGCGTGCACACACGTGCACATGCACATACACAAAGACCCAGAAGGTTCAGGTTCAGGTTAGAAAGGGAAATGATAAATTCATGTACTAAGAAGCGGGAGGTGATATAGTACTGGTATAGCATAAAAACATACCTCTTAGTAACTTGTTCATTACTATGTATAATTCTTTCATTTTATGCAGTGACTTTTCTAAATCATTTGTTTCCCATATTCTCAATTCTCTTCCCGTTCCCCTCCCAAAATAACCATTCCTCTGCTCCAATTTTCCCAAAAGCCAAATTCACTAACAAAGTGCTTCAATCCCTCTGCTTTACTCTTAAATTTCTCTGTACCTTCTCAAGAAGCAAAAGATCCTATTCTAAGACATCTCCTCTTGTGCTTTTGAACCCAAACCCTTCTACTTCTTCAGGCCTCTCTTCAATCATCTTCTCTAACTTGCATTTCCAAACTCTTTCTCCATCCTGGCACCTTTCTCTCTATATAGAAATATATTTAGGTTTCCTCCAGTTCAAAAGCACACTTTCTTTCCCCTCACATCTACATTATTTGCTCAGTAATGAGGCTGCATTGTTAAAACATTTTAAATAGCAGCCAACACTCACTACTTCTTCCTCACCATTCACTTATGTAAACCCATGTAATCTGGTCTCTGCCCCCACCATCCAAAGAAATTACAAGCACTAAGGTCACTGGTGTCTTAACCACCAAATTCATGGCATTTCTTAGTTCTGATACTCCTAAACCTTTCCATTTTATTTGATGCTACTACTCTCACACACTTTGGAATAGTATCAACAAGGCAACTGTTGCCTTGGTATTGTACTATGCTGATTTTTTAAAATCTCCTTCTGACTTGTCTTCTTAGATTTTTGTGCCAAATCCTTTCTCATTCAACCTCTTTTTAAAAAATTTTTTAAACATTTTTTAGTGTCGATATATCTTTACTGTATTTATTTATATGCAGTGCTAAGAATCGAACCCAGTGCTTCACACATACTAGGCAAGCACACTACCAGTGAGCTACAAACCCGAGCCCCTCATTCAACCTCTTTAAGTATCAGTTTTCAACTTTTTCTCAGCTATTACACATAAATGATGTTTACATGGGTAGCACATTCCCAGAGCTAAACTAGCTTCCTCTCAAACTCAAAAAAGCATTTGTGCAAGTAATGACAATAATGGGGAAACAATAATATCCTTAAAATTAGTTTTGTAATAAATAAATCATTTGGAAGCTTTGGTACTTTAAGTACTGTTATTAAAAACAAACTAACTGCCTCATACAGACATTCCCTGAGATTTTAGTCTAAGCCCTTAAGAAGGGTATCTCTAAGCTCTTTCTTGGTGATCTCACAGCCTCTACTCACATCACTATGCAGGTGACTCTCTAATCTGTTGCTTCTGCTCTGATCAGTTTCTAAGCTCTGGCCTCACATGTGCAAGTCACCTGAGTGCCTTGAGAGAAGTCACCTGAATGTTCTGTAATATCTACAAGTCAAGCCCAAACTAAAAACAGTTTTCACACTAAACATGTTTCCTCTTTCTAGCTTCTCTATTTTGGTTGATGACACTACTTAGGCTTACAAAACTCAGAAACATCCTAGGCTGCTAAATACCTACTTCAACAAGTCCTATAAAGTCTACTTCTATGATATTCTTGCACCTGCACCCTTTTCCATTCCTTTTACCATCACTTTGCCTCAGACCATCATTACTTAATTTTCTTACTCTCCTCCACACGAATGTCATGTGTCCTCCTAGAAACACACACAGGACCAAAAATTAACTATGTCTCAAAGTATGAATCACCCAATTCTCAGACCAACCTAACAGGTCCTTAAACCTACAGGTCACTCCCCATTCCCCAATTTTATTTCTGCTAAACACATCTTCTGCTTGCTTATTCCACTTCATACAATAATTGTATCATTTCCCCACTTTCCACCACTCATTCCCTTCAGCATCCTGTTCAAAGTACACCTCTCCCAGGGAAATACTTCTTGGTTAATATCGCTGGATGTTAACCTCACCCCCACCCCGTCACTGTAACACTACAGGATCCATCAGAGTTGTATTAACAGGTATTGCATGTGTTTTTGAAAGTGGTTTGTAAGATTCTCCAGGGAAGGAATGAAGTTCTTTCCCTCCCATTCATGACCTTCCCAGACTTCCAACTGGCAGGTCTTAGTGCACTGTAGGTAAGAAAGGCAGCCACCGACTGTGGCTGCTAAAACACTTCCCAGGTCTCTACAAAGCGAAACCCAGCCCCAGTGGGTGGCTCAGAACACCACCTCGGTCAACCTAGTCCGCGCCTCACCCGTCAGTTCTCCAGTCAGGTAAGTGGCCATTTTGGAGAACATGTCCCGGCAAAGCTCGGTGATGTCAGCCTCGGCGGGCTCCTTTGCTTCCTCAGCTGTCTCCACGGCGGCATCGTCTGGGCCAAAGGAGAATGATTGAGTAGCTTGTCTCACACCGCGTCCTAATCCAGACAAGCAGCATCTTCCCACATCCCTCCGCACCTGTCTTCAATCAAGTCGGCCTCACTCTCCACCTGCCACATTTTCCCCTCGCTTCGTCCTTGCACCAATGACATGCCAACTCTGCTCCTCTGCACCGACCCCTCGCCCATTCCCGACCCTCCGACCAAAACAACTCAGTGGCTCTGACAGGACCTGTGCACTCCTCCGCCCTGCCCACCCCTGCGACTACACATCAGCCCCGCCATCTCGGGGCTCCCGGCAGGACACTTCACCCCAGGACCTCCGCCGGACACTTCATTTCCATCTAGGCCAGGTACTGTTTCCATCTCGCCGGGTACCTCGAGTGGGCTCCTCGCGTCTCGGCGCTGTGACAGCCTCAGCCGCCGCCGCCATGCCGGCCCAGCGCTGCTTCCGGTTCTGGGTGTCTGCGCGTGCGCACCGGGCGTGCCCCGCCTCGGCAGCCCTGTCCTTCTGAGTCACTCCTTGAATAAATGACTCTTAGCAAAGTATAAGCAGGAAAGCCAGAATTGAAGCCAAGATTGCCTGTCATGAATCGATCTGCTGCCGAGAGTCTGGACGTCTGGGACTGAGGATGCACTCATCCCTAACATCGCACTCTGGAGCGCTCACTTGGCTTGTACTGGGGGTAGTCCACGCTGAGTGGCTTACTGACCCAGTCACTGGAGACAGGTTACTTCCTCCCCAGACGCTCCGCACCCTGGCAGGTGTTAGTGACCAAAATATTGCTTGTGCAGGTAGTCTTATTCAGGCTTTGGAAAACCTTCAAGTCTTGATCCCTGACCCTAAATACTCACCTTCTCAGTGTTCTGGATTAATACCAATTCAACGATCCCAGTTTCTTTTAAGTGCAGGCTGGCACCTGCTTCTCTTTTGATACACACTTTGTGTTTGGGGGTGGGGGCGGGGGGCTTTTTTATTCTGAGACAAGTTCTCGAAAGTTGCTTAGGGTCACGCTGATTTGCTGAGACTTTTAATTTGCGATCCTCCTGCTTCAACCTCCTGAGCCTCTGGGATTACAGGCCTGTGCCACAGCACCTGGCAGATACAACCTTTTTTGAAGAGAGCTTGAAACGTAACTTTTTAGGGTTGAGGATATACTCTGGTTGTTTTAACTGCATTTAACAATTTCATAAGTTTCCTAGAGTATAGAGTACTTAGTGGGATGGGAGAACAGAGATGAGGAGGGGATTGAATGAGAAAAAGTGACTGGGAAGCAATGTAAGGTGTAAAATGAATAAGGGTAAAGGTCACAGGAAAGGGAAGAGTTTCGAGTCTCAGGATATAGGGTCATGGTCACTCAAAATCTTAGTGTGGGGGTTTCTTATCTTATCCCTAGTTATTGTCCCTCTGCATACACAAACATACATGCAAGCTACCCCCACCTCCAACCCCTCTTAATCTGACTTTTTCCCCACTGAGAACTGGGTCTCCCTAAGTCATCTGTCTCAATTCTTCCATATGGAACAATCATAGTACCCTCCATTTCAAAACATTGCTACAAGCCAAAAGTTCTTATTTCAGGACTCATGAGGCAGCCCATCTCCTTCATGTTGTCACTGCTCCTACTCCATACTTTCAAGAGAATATGAACTTATTCCAGACCAAGCACATAATGGCTTGCAGTTCCAAACTCTTTTCTTACTGCTATAGTCCCAGAACCAAATACAAAACCTGGTTTTCTGAAAGAGTTTTATTGATAGTCACCTGGGAAACCCACATTATCCTATGGAAAAATAGAATCAGAGTCTAACACATATTCCAAAGATGTCTGAATCCTGAGGTCATTTTCTTGCCTAATTCCCTTCAGGCTCCATTTCATCTTCTGAATTACAGCCCCCTCAATTCCCCGTGTTAAGTGGAACTCCAGGAGACAGAATTCTCCGGAAAAGCCTTTGTTGACTTTGCTATGGCAGAGCAACACTCTAACAACTCTGCAACTTTGGAATCTTACCTCATCAGAGTCTACTCACCTCTAAGGCTTCCCCTTCTCTTTTACATGGAAACTTTATAAGGGATTACAAGAAACCCATGGATGCTGGCAATAGAGATCTAGATGCACAAATAAGAGTAAGATTTACTGGCAAGTACAGCTAGACACAACCTACTCTCTTGGCTTCTATCTTTTTCACAAATCATGTCTGTCTAGGTGCTTAGGGAGAGTCCTTACCCTCCCTTCCTTTATCCTGTTTGTTATTGACATGGTTTTATTACTATTGCAGAGCTAAGTGCACATGCAGTAAGAAGCCCAGTTGGAAATGTCATTTCACAGAGCTATGTGGCTACACACAGAAACACTGAATCACAAACCTAAACATGATGCCCAGCTACACACAGTAACATTGGCTGAAGAGTCAGGTAAAGGGTGGGACTCAGCAACAGCCATGTGGGACCTACTGCCCTAGAAGTGGAGAGCATGTAGAGAAGAAGCCTCTGTGGAGACACAGAGAGAGGAGCCTGCTACTGATGCTTTAGGACTCTTCCTCCATTCTCCTGGACTTCCTATGGGGCTGGAGTCACAGCTGTGGCTAGCTGCAGGTGTTCCCAAATTGCTTGATCCTCCTGTTGGAATAAAAAGAAATAAGTTATCTTAAGGAATAGTATGTTTCCCACCTTTCTTTTCTCTGGATCTGATTACAGATAATCCAGACTGCTAGAGACTGAATGTTTTTGTTTCACAAAATCATATATTGAAATGCTAGCCCCTAATGTGATGGTATTAGGAGGTGAGACCTTTGGTAAGTGATTAGGTCATGAGTGTGGAACCCTCATGAAGTGGATTAGTGCCCTTATAAAAGAGAGTTCCCAGCTGGGTGCAGTGGGGCACAACTGTAATCCCAGTGGCTTGGGAGGTTAAGGCAGAAGATTTGCAAGATCAAAACCAGCCTCAGCAACTTAGCAAGGTCCTAAGCAATTTAACAAGGCCTTGTCTCAAAATTTAGAAACAAATAAGGACTAGGGATATGGCTCTATGGTTAAGTAACCCTGTGTTCAGTCCCTGATACTGAGAAAAAAAAAAAAGAGTTTCCCTTGTTCCTTCTACTATGTGAGGGCACAGCAATCTATGAACCAAGAAGCAAGCCCTCCCAAATTGTGTGAAATATATTTCTGTTGTTTGCAAGCCCTCAGTTTATGATTGTTACCACAAGCCAAATAGACTTAAACACAGACCTTGCTTAGAGGCCAAGGCAGGCCTTAGGCCAGGGCAACAACTTGCAAACCTTTCCTACATCATCACCTCCACTGATATGCTGACAACTATGAACATGTTTCCCTAGGACCCTGAAAACATAGGTCTTTCAAAAATGTTATACTTTTTCCACCACTGAGGGGCTGGGTGTGGTGGCCCATGTCTGTAATCTCAGTGTTTGGGAAAACTGAAGCAGAAGGATCACAAATTTAAGACCAGTTTGGGAAACTGAATATTCAAGACCCTGTCAAAATAAAATTTTTTAAAAAGTCTGGGGATGTAGTTCTGTAGTAAAACACCCCTGGGTTCAATCCCCAGTGTCACAGACAGACACACACATACACAAAAAGTCTCCCCACCCCTATATGAGTGGGGAAAGATAGTAGAGTTCATCTCTGGAGAACTTAGAGGACCCAGATGAAGGGCCACTCACCACTGCTGGGGAGGGAGTCAGCCACCCCTTCCTCTCCAGCATCTTCAGCTTTGAGCCTACAGAATCAACCTGAGACACAACTCCCTCCAGAACAGTCTCCAGCTGCAGAACTCTCCTTGTGAGCCTGTGAAGGATTGAAGAGTGACCAAGGGAGCAGATCATTGGAGAGATGGGTATCTACAGGGACAGGAATAACAGAATGATGTGTATTTGAATGGGAATAAGGAAGGTGTTGCCCAACCTTGTAGGGAGAATCACAGGGGAGCAAAAGTTCTCCCTGGACTAGGACAGGGAATTGGAAGGTTGTGGAAAGAAACTCAACATAGGATATTACAGACACAGCTACCCTGGGCTCCTGGATTCACGTACAAGTAGAATTCTTCTCTGCAAACCCAGCCTTCTGCTCTGGCAGCCTCTGGGCCCAACTTGCTTGTTGGGCTGTGCACAATTGCCTGACCCAGGTTTTCAATCTCAGCACTGAGGGCCACCTGATCAGGAAGTCAGAGGTTAGAGGGGATAAGATGATTCTGGGAAGGCATCAGCTTGTATTCTATTATCTGCTCTAATGAGCTCTGAGCTTCAGTTCTTTCTATCCCCCTTTCCTCCCAGACTGGAGACAATAGGGTCAGGATGGTGCTGAATTAACTTCTGGAGAGGGAATCACTTCCCAAAGAAACAAAATGTGAACTCTTCAAAGTCTTAAATGAGGTGTTCACTAGAATCCAACTCCATTCGGGAGAGGAGAGACAGTACCAAAATTTTTCATCCTTTCTCTCTGGGCTGCTATCACCTGACCTTGATTTTTTTAGTCTACAGTGTATAGGGATGGAGCAGGCTGAGTAGGAACAGCTGAGGAACTTAAAATCCCAAGGAAGAAGCAGATTTTCAGAGGGAATTGTCAGGGCAACTGGTCCATTTTTCCTAAGTCTTTGTTTTACAGTACTTGTTCTCAACCTTGGTTATGCATTGGAATCACCTAGAAAGCTCTAGAAAGTATTGAAGTATGGGCCTCACTCCCACAGCTTCTGATCTAATTGGTCTAGAATGTGTGGCCTGAGTATAAGGATTTTTAAAGGTTCCTTGGGATATATAATGTGCAACAGTATGAGAATCACTATTCTAGAGAGCTCTTTCCTACTCATCTATGGGAACATTTTTAGTTTGGGTTTGTGATCCAGGCGTGCTGGGGAGAGAGGAAGGGGAGCAACATCCTTATACTGACTCCCCACCAGCCAGCCCTGCTCACTCTCTCCTCCTCCAGGTCCTGTTGCATTTGTTCCTGCTCGTTCTCATCCAGAATGTGATTCCCATCCTGGTCGAACCTGGCGAAGGCAGCTGTGAGCTCAGTGATCTCATGCTCTGCATGCCCCAGTCTGAGGAGAACAGGATCATGAAATGACTTCTGACATATTGAGGGTGTGATCACTCAACTATGGATTCCTAACCCTTTTATTAGCCTCTAGTTAGAGTCTTGATCTCTAAGGCTGGGGTTGTGGCTCAGTGATAGAGCACTTGCCTAGCATTTGTGAGGCCCTGGTTTCCATCCCCGGCACCGCTACCACCATCACCACCCAAAAAAAGGAGAGTCTTGACTGAGTCTTGCTTTCTGGGAATGAAGAGGATCACACAGGAAAGCCAGAATCCCCCAAATCTAGCAATTTTACCTCCAATAAATTGCTTGAATCTATTTCTTCTTCCTGCCCTGACTCCTGATGACTAGATTTAGGGCCTCATGATCTCCTATGGGGGTTATTGCCACATCTCTTTGCCTCTAAACAATCTGCCACTCCCTATGCCCAGCTTCCCTTTACTTCGTGCTCCTGAAATCCATCATCCTTCATTATACAACTAGAGTCACTAACATTTTAAAACACAGGTCTAATAGCTATCTATGGTGGCTCATGCTTATAATCCCAGATACTTGTGAAGCTGAAGTAGGAGGATTACTTGAGTCCACAAGTTTGATAGGAGTCTAGGCAACATAGTGAGACCCTGTCTCAAAAAAATAAGTAAAATAAAATGCAAGTCTAAATATACCCCTTCCCTGCTTAAAAACCCCTCCTGGACATTCTAGTGTGTGGATAGATTTGATGTTCAAAGAAAAAACCTTTCCAAAAGTGGCCCTTGCCCTTTTCTCTGACCTCATCTCCTGCTATAACCCACCTTTTATTTGAAACCTTAGCAATGCTCAGCTACTTATTTCTCTTTTATGAATTCTTAGTTTCACATTCCTATGCCTGTGTATATGACTTAATGTCTCAGAAGGCCTTCCTCTTCTTGTCCACTCACAAGCTATTCATCCTCCAAAACTTTATTAAGAAATAACCTCTTCCAGGAAGCCGACACTTAAGCCTAAATAGAATTGATAACTCTCTTTTCTCCGTGTGCCCTCTCTTTTCATGTCACTTCTGTGATTTGATTTATTTTCCTATGTGTCTATTAGCTCCTACAAGACAAAGGCTTTGTCTCATTTAGTTATGTTGTCCCTTACTCAGTGCCTGGTCCACAACTGGTATTCCCAATGTGTTTGTTCAATGTTTTGTGGAATGAGGCATTTAAACAATAATGATGAATTATGTTGTTACACTAAGAGTTGTTCAGAAAGGTCCAGAATGTTATAGACTATGGCCCAGATACCTTAGTCTCCAAAAGAACACAATTCTGAAGGTCAGGATAAAAAAAACCTATGAGAAAAGGTCAGAGGTGCACAGACCAAGACCAAAAGCTTATAGACAAAAGATGTATAGTTAATAATCAAGAACTTATTGACCAAAATAAAGAAGATTGAATGTCTGGTTGCTCACTCCCTCAAGGTTTTGGTGAAATCCTCAAACTGGATCTCCTGCTCTCCACCCTGCAGAAACTTCTGCACATCTGAAACCTGTTTCTTCTTCAGACGCAACCGTAGGAGGGTCTTGTTGTAGCCCTGAAAGGGAAAGGAAACAGGAAAAAGTCCCCATAGACATCTCATCATCCTTGGATTCCTCCTCCACCCAAAATATGTCAGGCTTTCAGGAAAAAGTCAAAAGGGCAGCATAGGCTCCTATGACAGCCAGAAATAGATCATTCACAGAGGCAGATGCAGAGAGGAACTCAAGGAGACTGCATAGTCACCTGTTTTAGGAGGTCAGAAAGTTGCAACTCATCCTTCTGTCCAGCCAACTCCTCCTTGACCTCTGAGTATGTGTCATTGATGATAGCTAGGAACATGTTCTGGAGGATAAAGTGGGGACATGGATCCTCACCCTCAGACCCATTAAAAACATTAAACTCATGCCACAGACACATGTTCTAAAGGGCCCAATGGTCCCAACCTCAGCTTTGTAGCCCACCCTGCCTCTCAGGGTCGGAGAGCCCAGCCTTTCAGCACATTTCTGTTAGGGATGGATCTTGCTCCCTCATCAACCTGGCATTCTCATTCTCAGTTGCTGCATAATCTTTCTGACACAGATACCCCAACATGCCACTTGTTGAAGCTAGGAACTTCTTCTCAAGATGAGAGTAAAACTGTGCTCTCTTTACCATCTGTTCCTCAATTGGTGTCTGTATCCCTAGTGATTGATCAAACAAAGAAACTTCTGGGGCTTAGGACACAGTTCAGAGGCAGACCACTTGCCTAGCATGTGCAAGGCCCTGGGTTTTATCCCTAGAACTGAAAGAAAAAGGAGGAGAAGGAGAAGGGGAGGAAAAGAAGGGAAGAAGGGGGGAGGAGGGGGAGGGTGGAAGGAGGAGGGAGAAGAAGAAGTAGTACAGGAGGAAGAAGAGAGCTAGTGGGGAGAAAGAGAGGAGAGAAGAGAAGAGAAGAGAGAGAGAGAGAGAGAGAGAGAGAGAGAGAGAGAGAGAGAGAGAGAGAAAGAGAAAGAGAGAAAGACTGACTTGCTGGCCATGTTAATAAAAATCAAATCCAGATCCCAGATATTTCCCAGTTGGCAGGGAGAGAAAACAACCACCAAATCATAACAGTAGAAATCAGTAAAAGCAATAAAAGATCTCCAAAGGAAGGATCATCTTAGGAAAATAGGCACAGAAGCTTCTAGGGGCAGCTACTTCTCAGGAGGCATTTCCCTCTCCCTTTCCATCCTTGGAGGGTAGGAGTTTGATTTTCCTTCAGGGAAGAAAACCTCCTGACTATGTTGGACATGCTGACCACATTAGCCAGCTCTGGGAAGGTTCAAAGGAATGTCCCCCACCACATGCACACATGCACTCTCTGTCCTTGGTTAAAGTAATAACCCATCATAATCCTGAGTAGGGTACAGAAGGGGTCAAAACTCCACCCTGGATGCTCCCTATGTTACCACCCATATCCCCCAAGGGGATCCTCACCAAGAGCACAAAGAAGACGAAGAAGACGTAGGTGACAAAGTAGGCAGGGCCCAGGATGCGGTTGGCATTGTTGATAGTATTGTAGTCAAAGTCCCCAAGAATTATCCGAAACTGAGTGAAACTGAGAGACCAAGTCTGGGCTTCACCCAGAGCCTAAACAAACTCTAGCCCCAATCCATATCCCATCCCACTTAACTAACTTCAGACAGACCCATCACTCCACCTCTGACCCAATCTGATACAAAACAGGTTAGTAAATTATTTGAGCATTCACCTGGGCTTCCTGAGACTTTAACCCAGACACCTTAACGACAGACATACCCACATGTGTCCCCCATTTTCCCCAAGGAGCTGGAAGGTGAAGGGCAGAAGGTGAAGAGTGGGATACACACATGCACTTGATGAAAGTGCTAAAGTTTTCCACTTGAGTCCCAAAAATCAGGTAGCCAAGCTGGGCATAAGCAAAGAAAACAATGAAGAACATGACGGCGAAGCCCAGGATGTCCTTGGCACAACGGGCTAGTGTGGATGAGAGCTGGGTCATGGTTTTGTTGAAGCTGATGTACTTGAATATCTGCAAAAGCCATGACAAATGCAGTGGTGAAGAAAAAGTGAAAAATGTTAAAAAAAAAAAAAAAGCCCATCCCAGGGGAACTATGGAGGCCACAGAAATTAACAAATGAGATAGGCATTAAGGACGGGAGAGTAAGTGCCCTGAGACAGGTCTGGGAAAGGAGAGCCCCAGGTACCTTGATCCAAGCAAAGAAAAGATTGACAGCATTCATGTTGTTGTATTGTGTCTGCCAGAAGGCCAGGAACTCAAAGTCAGCATACGTGTTTGGCTGCTGCAGGAGCTTCCCCATCAGCCGATTCACCTCTAGGGTTCGGAATATGTGGAAACCCATGGCCATAATGGAAAGCTGTCACACAGGGATCAAGGGGTTGTCAGGGAGTCTCAAGGGAAGTTCAAAGATGAGGTCCCACAAGAGAGATGGGGCAGGTAAGACAGGTGGGCTAGAAACACCCCTCCTGCTGAGGTGTTCACTAGCTCAGGTTTAGATAAAGCCAGAGAGGGTGACTGAGAGCAGTTTGAGTGTTCTAAAGCCCGAGAGAAGGCTTTAGGGCCAGTGGCAAATGTATAAGGCCACAAGGAACCAGAGTCAAGAAAAATATTTCTCCCACCCCCACCACTTTCAAACCTTGATCAGTTTATAGATGAAAATGAAGGAGCAGAATATTTGAACAGAAAAGAAAAGGCAGGGCTTTCAGGGGGACAGGTCATAAGGGCAAAAAACAGGAGAGGAAAGAATATCAAGTGTGTAAAAAGCAGAGGCCTAGACCACAGGAGAGGAGAGGACATGTAGGAGATAGGGTCCCCCAAGGGCTGAGTCAGGGGAACCTCACCCTCTCACCCAGGGAGCTGTGGCACAGTGATTTGACCTGAACTCAGAAGGAGGGCTTAGTCTTCAAAAGGAAGAACTTGGAGCTCCCACCAAGATGGATGCCCCTCCTTCCCCAGTATGTTCCATGTCCCAAACATTTGTCCCTCACCAAAATGACCACAAGGTCCAGTACATTCCAGATGCTGCTGAGGTAGTGAAGCCGGTGCATGTGGAGCTCCAGGATCTCCTCCACCACATAGTATAAGATGAAGATGCAGAAGATGATCTCACAGCCAACAATGAAGAAGTCCCAGTTGCTCACATAGCGAATCAGCTTAACTGTGCGAATTTGCCAGGATGGAATGGCACCTCCTGTGGCTGGGAACTCCACCACTAGTCTGTAGGGGAGCAGAGACTGGGGATAGACTGAGAGAATTCCTCCTATATTCCCTCCTTCCCACATCTATCCAAGGCCTATATTTAGGGAAGTATCTCAAGCATAGCACACAGGGACCAGCAGCCAGGGATAGAAGGATACAACAGGAAAAGGGCCCACCTCAGAACACAGAAAAGATTGATGTTGGCATTGTAGACAGAGAAGTCAATGAAGACCACCCTAGTGCCCCTGTCCAGCCACAGCCCCTCTTGAAGGTTCCGAAGTGCCTCTGCACTAGCCTGTCGAGACACTGGAAGGTCCAGGTAGTAGCCACCTCCGCTGTAGCTTGTGAGCCTCCCCCAGTGGGAGGAGCCCCCCAGCTCCTCCTGGGAGTGGTATGTCCACCTGCCACAGAAAAAGCCATCTGAGCAAAGAGAGTCTGAGCCAGCTCAAAAGCTCATCTCCAAGATGATGGTAATGCTTTATGATTTCCTGGACCTTACACTTCCATATACATCATATATCTATGCACACACTATGTGTGTACATATGTATATGTGTATGCATGTATATATAACATGATATATATATATATATATATATATATACATGTTATATACAATATGTATTTCACACATATTATTTTGGTTGATTCTAATAACAACAAGAAGTGAGAAGGGAGTAAGTATTATCCACATTTTACAGAAGAGGAAACTGAGATTCAGAGTTTTCCAAGATAAGTAGCTATATAGTGACAGAATGGAAACTCAAATGTAAATCTCCTCATTTTCCACTATTTTTTCAATGACAAAGACAAGTTCCACTTTTGCCCAAACCAGAGCAGGCTCCATAAGGGAGGTACCTTGACTGTAAATACAGAAAAGATTCTTACTGCTCTCATGGCTGTTTGACCCACAGATTCCCCGTTCTACCACCTCAAATTTCTAAGCTGGACCCCTATTTCCTCCCCATTCTGTCCTGTCCATCCCCTTCTTCTACTTCCCTCATCTCATCCATCTGAAACCTCTTGTTTCTCCCCCATGAGTCTCAAGGGCTGGGTTCTTCAGCCACGACTTGTGTGACAGTGTCAACTTCACCCCTTCATCACACTCCCAAGGGACTTCTGCACAGAGATGCTTTCCCTGTGGGGACTGCCTGCAGAGAAGGGTCAGTGTAATTGTGACCTGTATGTGGAAAGAGGTTCAGAGGCTACAGACTATCTGCTAGTCTGTCTCCTCTATGCCTGAATGACACACGCCAATGTCCTCACAGTTTGCACTTGGGACTCAGGGAGATGCCCATCAAGTCCCCTGAAGTGTAAACCCCTAAGGCCCTTGAAGCCTTGGCAGAAGTAGTTCTCACTCCTTGAGATGATGTCAGGTTCAGAGGGGCAGCCCTATGGCCTTGGTTGGGGGCTCACTCACGCTGTGTCATTGAGGAGCCCAAAGGGGAGTTGCTCTTCTTTGTCTGGAGAGTAGACATCATAGCAGCTCAAAATGTCGTCACGGAAGTCCTCATGCACCACACAGGAATCATTGCGGACCCGCAGCTGCCGCAGCCTTGGGACCCCCAGGAGCAGGTTCTCATAGTAGATGAAGGAGTGCGAGCCGTGGCCCAGGCTCTGGTTGTTGTACCACTTGGTCCAATACAGACTGTCCAAGAGTGGGCCCTGGGCAAACTGGACCACAGGTTGGGTTGGGCTGACCCAGCCTCCTCCTGACTACTGATCTTCATCCTGACTCTCTGGTCACCAGTTTGTCTCCAGTGTCTTTTGTTTGAGCCCTCAACTGACCAACTGACCCAGGGACCTTGACCAGATCCTGAACTGACTCTATGTGTAAAATGCATTTTGAGGTTCAGCCCACCCTCTTATTCCCAATTCTGGTCTAACCTCTGATTCGTTCTCTTATCAACATCCAGATCCCTCCCCCACCTCTACCTCAACTCCAGGCTAACTCATGACTCAGCCTGATTCCTGATTGACCTTATCTTTGAGCATATGGTCCATTGCCTGGTGTCTGGCATCCCCATGCTCTGGCCTGTGATTTCAGGCCATTGAAAAGGAGAAGATAGACAGGAGGCAATTTCATACTCACATCCCAGAAGTCTGCCATGCTGCTGATGTCCTGGAAGGAGACTCCAGTATTTGACGGGGTATGTAGGAAGAGCTCAGACATCACTTTGGTGTAGTAATAGGCACTGGAGCTTGTCATCCCATAGGTCACTAGAAAACAACCCCAGAGAATGTGTCATTCTCATAGTTCCCATCTCCATTCCCCAGAGGTGACAGGAAAGCCCACTGCCCTTGGAACAGAGGTGCTGCCTACCTACCCTTAGAGATAGCTGGGGAGGCTGATGGTGGCTCTGGGGGAAACTAGGGAATGCATTAGGGAAGGGTAAGGCCACAAGGCTTCCTCTTTTCCTCCCAACTCACCTCAGAGAGACTGAACTCCACTCAGTAACTCTCTCTTGATATTGCCATTCTAGAATTTTACTTTTCTCTCCTGACTCAATTTAATTCCTAGTATTTACTCCCCAGAGGCAAGATATTTCTGTCATCTGCTTTGGACGGTGCTTCCTTTTATTTTTCTTCTCTTTATGCCTTTTGGAAGTGCCTCCAAATTCTAGATCACTCCAAAACTCTGGCCAAACACTTTACAATACAACACTTTTTTTTTCTTAAATTTACAATACAGATGTGGTCTCCTGGCTTCTTGAGTCAGTGACTCTGCAATCATGGGAGCAGCAGGCATGGCTAGTGCATCCTGATGGGCACATTTGTCTCCTGAGAGAGGAACTCAGAGCATCCCAGATTAAAAAGACCTGGATCTCCCTCAACTGCTCATAAGCACACACCCAGTCCCATGTGCCTAAAGTGGATCTCTCAAGGGACCCTCCCCAGGATTCCTGGTTAAAAGAGAGGATTTGAAGAGAATATATCACTTATTTCATAGATTGTCTCTCAATTTTGGTTTGTTTGGCACTTCCTTATGATTAAATTTAACTTACACATTTTAAGGAGGAGTGTCATACTGGTAATATTGTGTTCTTCTCAGAGCATCACATCAGGAGGGACGTACTATTTGTTTGTCTCCTTACTGGGGAAGTTAACTTTGATTCCTTTTTAAGGTAGTGTCTACCAGGTTTCTCCAGTGGCAAATTATGATTTTTCATTTTATGGTTAATATGCATTGTGTGGAGATACCATGTAGATATCTTCTTACTCACCAATCTTTTACCTACTAGATGAAAGTCTATTGATAACTTTGATTATTATTAATATGATTACCAAATGGTGATTTTTTTCAATCCATTATTCCTTCTGAATTAATTAGTTGTATTATTTTGAGAAAGAATTTCCCTTGCTCCTTATTCATTTATGTGTATCAGTTTGAACTCATGGATTCTTGGCTTCCCCTTACTATGGGTTGTAATTTGTTATTATTGTTTATTTTGTTACTCAAAATTTGAGGGCCAGGTCATGAAAGACATAGAAAGAGTAAGGACTTTTCAACCTTAAAAGGGGATAAACAAAAATAAAAATTAAATGTAATATGAGATCCTGTAATGGATCTTGGACTATAATTTTTTCTTTTGCTTTAATAGCTATTAATTAGTGAAATTGCAATAAATTCTATTCATTAGATAACAATGATGGATCAATGATAATTTCCTGTTTTTGATAAGAGGATAGTCTCAGTTTTTTAAAAGTATTTTTTAGTTATACATGGACACAATATCTTTATTTTGTTTATTCATTTGTATGTGATGCTGAGGATTGAACCCAGTGCCTCACATGAGAGAGGCAAGCACTCTGCCACTGAGCCATAATCCCAGCCCGAATATTCTCGGTTTTAAAAATATACTTTAAGGTATTTAAGAATAATGGGACATTTTAGCTGCAGTTTACTCTTTTTGATGGTGGTAGGTACCGGGGATTAAATTCAGAGGCATTTAACCACTGAATCACATACCAGCCCTATTTTGTATTTTATTTAGAGACAGGGTCTCACTGAGTTGCTTAGTGCCTCACTTTTGCTCTGGCTTTGAACTCATGATCCTCCTGTCTCAGCCTCTCGAGCCACTGGGATTACAAGCATGCACAAGTATGTCCGGCTGCAATTTACTCTTAAAAGTAGTGGTGTGTGTGTGTGTGTGTGTGTGTGTGTGTGTATGTGTGTGTGTAAAATACTCATATCTGGGTAAAGAGTAGGAAATATATATATATATGAATCAGAGATGAAAAAAGGCTATCACAATGAATGCCATCTATTGGTCATTCAGGAGGTGTAATCAGCCTATGTCATTAGGAAAAGTTCAGTTCAGTTCATAATTGCTGTGTGATCTCTCAGCAGACAGAAGTTTCCTGCGGGAATCCACTTTTCATGTCCAGAAAACACCATTTTTCAGATACTAAGGCCAGATGTGAATTAGAGAGAAGTGAAGGTGGTATGTCTGAACTTTGTTTATATATATATAAAACATGAAAATGTTTAATATAGTATTTATCAGCCTCTTGTGAGCAATTCCCTTCAAGAATTTTCTTTATCAGATCTTGGGCCATATTTTATGTCACCATCCCAGAAAGGGAACAACTGGGGTAGATAGGAGTTTGTCTATAATCTTGGAGGAAATGCGGGGGGGGGGGGCAATGAATGAACCCTGATTTGGTACTTAACATCATACTTCTTGCAGGCTGGGGTCCAGGGAATCAACAAAGAAGAAAGCACTATTTCACATTTCCCCACTCTACTCTGTTAACAAAGTTCAGACATACCACCTTCACTTCTCTCTAACTCACATCTGGCCTTAGTATCTGGAAAATGGTGTTTTCTGGATATGAAAAGTGGATTCCCGCAGGAAACTTAACTTCTGTCTGCTGAGAGATCACATAGCAATTATGAACTGAACTGAACTTTTCCTAATGACATAGGCTGATTAAACCTCATGAATGACCAATAGATGGTATTCATTGTGATAGCCTTTTTTCATCTCTGATTCCAAGTTAAATGTCCAGAATTAATATTGCTCTGGAGGGCTATCAATAATTTATGGAGGCAGAATATCTACAATCATTACTCAAGACAGTAAAGATTATGGCTTCTAAGATAAATGGCCTTCTAAGATAAATTTACCTGGTCAAATGCTTCTTGACACATGGAAATTCAGTATTCATACTTCTTTGTAACTCTGATTAAAATACATTGAATTGGTAAGATCAAGAAGGAAACTTAAAACCCTTTAAAGTGAGGGTCTAAACTTGGTTTAGTACTTATTTAACACCTTCTTTCTATCTAAATACCCTCTCTTCCTTGTTAATTCTTATTTCTGAAAATTTTGTACTTTGTGCAAAGGTACACCTTAAGGTATTTAGGAATAATGAAGCATTATGTCTGTAATTTACGCTCAAACAGTAATTATATGTAAGTGGGAGTGAACATAAATGAGAGATGCTTTCCATCACTATTTTGTGAAGCTCAAACTATTTCAAATACTCCACATTTTGATATTTAATAGACAAAATTATCAGTTTATGAATGTGAATTATTACAGACTTCTTATATATATTAAACAGACATTGTTCAAAAATCTACAATTGTACAAAATACCTTGCTATGTATCATGATTTCTATCCTCAAAAAGTTCTATTGAGGAAGATGGCCCCAAATAAACTTGGTGTCATCAAATGAGTATAAATTTCAAGCCAGACAGAACCTAGGTTCAAATCCCAGCTCTGCCACTTACAATATAGACTTAGCCTCTGAGTTTCAGCTTTCTCAGCTATAAGGAAAGGAATATAGTACCTTTCTTACAAGTTGTGAAGTTAAAGATGATGTCTTTAAATTGCACGGAAAACAGCAGATGCTCAATACCTACCAGTAATCCTGTTATGTGCTCCTCAGGGATAAGGACTGTGCTTTGTTCATTTTGCATAGTGCCTGGTGTTTAATAACAACTTCTTATTTTTCTTCTTATTATTAATTCAATCCCACTAGGGACTGAACCCAGGGGCACTTTACTCCTGAGCCATATCCCCAGCCCTTTTTAATTTTTATTTTTTTTGTTTTGAGGCAGGGTCTTGCAAAGTTGCTTAGGGCCTTGCTTAGTTGCTAAGGCTGGCTTTGAATTTGCAATCCTCCTGCTTTGGCCTCCTGAGCTGCTGGGATTACAGGTGTCTCTTGTGTGTGAGCCCCACATCCTCTGTTCCTGTGAAGATACTTTGAATGGCAGCCATCCTGCTCACGTTAACCACACGTCTGAAGCAAACATGGCCCTCTCAAGGTAATTTATTTTATGCATTTACTGTTTACCAAACAAACGTCTGTGTACTCGAGTGTATTTGGCAGCATTGTCTACGGCGCCCCCCTGTGTTTGCCTGAGATACTGCGCTCAAGGTAGAGGTTCCACTCTGCTCATCACTGCAATTTGCACATTGCTCCGTGGACGCTCAGAGGCCTGTGTTCTGTCCCTGTTAATGGAAGCGTGCTCTGAACCTGTCTGCCTCCCTCCGCTACTCATTGCCTTCGATCTCAGCCCCCAGAGGGTGTCCACAACCACTTGGGACAGAAGGCAAAAGTGGAATTCAGACAGAAGCTTGATTGGCTCTTCAGTGACAAGCTTGGTCTTGCTGTGGCCCAGACATCAGCCTGCCCAGAATTGCCAGGAGGCTTTGGCAGACTCATGGTGCCACAGCACAATCCTTCCTTTGCTGAGTTCAGTGGACACAGGCGGACTGGTGTGTGGCCAGAGGGGTGCCACAGCACAGCAGTCCTCAGATGCCTACCTTCCACCTTCCTTTCGAAATCACAGACAACTCACTGAAGTGTCTCCAAGGAGAACAAGTTTTACCAAAATGAATCCTTCTTCATTTAACTGATCAAATGGATGAATCTGACCCTCTAGGTTTCTTTCCCCAGCGGGGAGCTGGTCTGAGTATTGACTATTGGCTTCACTGAAGCATCTTACCCTGAAGGCCTGAGAAGAAGCACAGTGGCCAAGCTGGGCTTAACTAGTAAGCCGCAGTTGGCCACGGCTGCTGGAGGCTTCCTGCTCAGAGAAGGAGACAGGGAACTGAAGGAATAGTCGGGGGTCAGAGAGACTAGGTTGAGTCTGGTTTTCCAGATGAATGAGAAGGAAAGGATTGGTGGAGGGTTTGATGCTACAGTCGGAAGATTTGCAAATGCTAACACATTCCTGTGTGAGGCACATCACCATTTGTCAGTT